AAAAAAAGAAACTGTCCAGATGACCTGACTGAAAAATGTTGGATTGTATACCTGGATTATTGAGCATGGACTTTGTTGTATCCATCCATTATCTTAACCCCTTTGCCCCTTTTTTGGGTCGCATTTTTTTATGTAATGAGCTCAACCACCTTACATAACTGCTGAAAACAAATTTTATTATTATTTTTGTCCATCTCAGCCTGAAAACTAAATATCAAACTTAAATGACTTTATTTGAGTTGAGCTCTTTCAGGGCCTTTAGTATGACAGAAATCTGCAATTCAGTTCCACTATACATCAATGATTTATTTTAAGTCAATTTTTTTCAAGTGCATCCCCCCAAACCCCAAAGGACACCCACATGTTTTTTTTTATTTTTTATAATTTTTATGTTCAAACAAACAAAACAAACAAAAAAAATCAGTCTGGAGTTTTGGGAAGGCCTTCCACTGTTTTCAGTCATGCCCACATGAGTCAGCTGCAGTTAAACATGGAGCTCTGTTTTTTGTTCAAATGTTTACTCCTGCACAATGCAAGTGTGCTTTTCTCATTACATCCGAACTAAAAAAAAAAAAAAAAAAAAAAAAAATGGAGTCAGATGAGACCAGAGACCAGACTGCAGTGGCAATCTGCAGCTGCAAAGGAGAGTGCATGCAGCCTGCCAGGAAACAGCAGATATTCATGCAGGTGACCTGATATTCACATACCATGGCTGCAAAGCACTGAGTAATCAAACTGAGTAAGAACTCAAATAAAGTCACATTTTGTCTTGAAACAAAGTTAAAGTTTGTTGATTCTCAGTAAAAAAGGAGCACTATTACATTGTTCCTTACATGTGAAAGCGAAGCACCACCTAGTGAGTTAATGTAAAATTGAAGGAAGAGTGATAGTGTTAAAATAAATAAATTAAATATATATGTATATATATGTATGTATACAGTATATATATATATATATATATATATATATATGTATATATATATATATATATATATATCTGTTTGAAAAATACATTTTAATGGGGCATCTAAGTGAGACCTTAAGATGCTGAAATTCCTACAAATAAAATTGGGTTTCAATGGGTTGTTTCTCCGAAGGAACTCTGAAGAGTAGTAAAATGAACAGGAGTTTACGGAAGCATTTAAAATGATTTTGACCAATTTTATTGACGATTTTAAGAATTTATCAGGATCAATTGTTTTTTTTAAATTAATATTTTATAACATCAATATAAATAAATAAATACAGTGAACACCAGAAATTTGCAGGGCTTGCGTTTTTAGAGAAACCGTGAATTGTGATAAACTACGAACATCAGATGTGGTAAAAAAAAAAAAAAAACGAAAAGGCATAAAAATGCCAAATTTTAGAGCTTAAACCCTAAATATTCTCCCAATACATAACATATACTCCATCAATTTAATTTAACAAAAATACAGTAAATTGTATGGGTACTTACCAAATCTCATGATCTCAGATCTCATGCTGCTGTATTCATTCATACCCATCTGCTCACTACAGACTCATGTTCGGGCTGCTGTTTAATATACCGTATTATGTTACATTATTAGTGTTTAGCGTATATCTTAGATCTTTTAATGTACCATTTGGCGTTCATTTAGCGTATATCTTAGATTCTTATATACTGTTTCTTTTTATACTTTATATTTTTGCAATTTTTGGGTGCAACCTTGAGAACACAACTTTGTTCCACCTCATGCACAACATGTGATGTGAATGACAATAAAGAACCTTGAACTTGAATGATACTGTGCAACAAAAAAAGAGAATTTACAGCTCCTCATGTGTTGCCTCTGCTTCATTTGTATCTTCTGACTGGTGTCCTGCTGGGGTTTTGTGCTCGCTGTCCATGATAGATTTGAGGAACATTGTTATGGGAAGTTGCTGTCTTTATTTCTTCGTAGTGATGAGGAGGGTTTTATGACCAAATGGCAGCATCAATGCGATTATTAGCTTTGAGACCGAACCATACAGGGATCCCATGTTTCAATCCTCCCCTGCAACTCCTTCATTCTCCTAATAATCTGCAACAGATGTTCCATTGCCAGGCCTTGCTCCTCCTCTTGCTCTGCCGATCCCTCCTCCTCTTCACTGGTAGACCTAGTTAATGCCAACTATCTATGTTCACCTCCAGAGGGTCCACAATGCTACCACACATCTTTCAACTGGCACAAAAAACATGACCATATTTCTCATTTTATCCTTACTGCACTGCCTGTACATTATAGGATTCATTCAAAAGTTATATTATTTGTTTTAAAGCTTTAAGTGATCTTACCCACCTTATCTCACTGAGCTACACTCCTACACGCCCTTCTGTTCTTTCAGGTCAGCAGACCAGCTGCTCCTGAGTCCAGAGTCCCAAAAAACTAAACAAAAGCTTAAAGGGAATCGTGCTTTCTCTGTTGTTGCTCCTAAACTGTGGAATAACATGTCTTTGAGCATCAGACAGGCATCCCGTTTTTAAATCACTTCTTAAAACCCATCTCTTTGCTTTGGGTTTTGACATCACCTGAAATGTTGATTTTTAGTCCAATTACCATATTTTATTTATAGAGCACTTAAAACAGCTACAAGGCCAACCAAAGTGCTGTACAGACAGAACAACAGACAACACACGAAGCAATATACCAAATGAAGTAAATCAAAAATATAGACATAAAAACGATGCAGATAATACATTTGACGACAAACCAGTGTGGAGCGTACAGGTTCACAACACAGATCATCTGATGTTGAAAGCTACTGAATAGTAGTGAGTTTTTAAACGGGATTTGAAAACCGAGAGGGAGGGGGCCAGTCTGACAAGCAGAGGTAACTCGTTCCAAAGTCTTGGTCCTGCTACAGAGAAGGCCCTGTCACCTCTGCGCTTGAGACGAGTTCCTGTTCCTCTGGTTCCCTGTCAGATAAGACATTAAAAATGTCAATAGAACCTGATTTATGCTGGTGAAGATTCTCAGTCATCCAGGACATGATGAATTCAAAAAGTGTTCAATACAAAAACAACTGGACTTTATTTGAACAACAGAAGATGTTTCGCTCCTCATCCGAGGAGCTTTCTCAATTCAATGAGCAGTGAGTGAGAGATTCAGGTTATAAGGCTGAGTGAGATAAGACACACACACATATGTAGATTTGTAGACAGGCTGGGCCATAATAATGTGCTTAATGTGCGGGCTGGGTCAGTGTCGTGCTTTTTATTGCATCAGGGACATGCACAGCTGACGATCCAATTATATGCCAACATGGCTTGCCATAATACACCTGCTGCACGCGGCCATTTGACCGCACGCTGACCGGCCGGTTGAAAGAGGTAAAAAGTTCAGTTAAGATTCAGATAGACTACTGCCAGCGATCCATCTGCCCAAATGGATGTTCATTCATTTGCTGCATGCGGCCGCTGACCCAAACAGGTGAGATCCCAAAATTTTCGACATGTCAGAGCAGGGTCCAATGCAGGCAGAAACAGGAGAAGCATTTAATGCGCTTTGAGAGCTCCTCAGCTCAGATCTTCTGCCCCCTTTACTAAGCTGCGGGCGTTTGCTGACCGTTAACAATAGTCAGTGGTATAAGCAGTCAAAGCTTAATTAAAAATGTTGTGGGTTTTTTATGGATTCGGACCTGTAATTACTGTTAATTTGTCGGATCGGGTGGAGTTCAGAGATGATGGCTGCAGGCTGGGACCAGGTGGGATCGGATTTTTTTGACCCGAGTGCAACTCTAGTAAGAAGAACCAAACAAAAAACATGAGGGCGAAACAGTCAACAGTTACACACCACACAGTACAGTAAACTGTTGTGAAGTGGAAATGCTGCGCTCCAGAAGGAGCATGGGAACAGGGCATGCATCACAAAATGTATTTTTTCCATATGGAATTTTAACTGAATTTTCATTCATGTTTACGTTACAAAATTAGTAAATTATATTGCTCGTAATAGTTTAGCTTTAAAATTCACATAAAGGCATAAGAAAAAAAATATATTACTGGTACGTACCTTACTGTGCTGTTGGGATTACTGTAAACCATTACTATTTAGGTTCCATGAAAAAAATCTGCAAAAGACTGAGTCTGCAAACTGAACAACAACTTTGCGGGGGTTCATTGTACTTGAATAAAAATAAATGTGTAGTTGATTTCCCCCCCCAAGATCTCCTGAAGGTAAAAAAAAACAACAACTAACAAAACATCCTAATATTTCATTAAAATTACTAAAAATAAATGTATAATTTTGTTTTTCCATTCAGTTTTTGACATATGATCTATAAAATTTCCATCATTATCCTCATAACTCATCCTAGTTGCCTCCAATGGGACAAGAGGCCCCAGTGCCTTTGAGTCCACAGTAGCCTTTGGGAACCTTCTTCAGGTACTGCTGATGGTAGTCCTCAGCGTAGTAAAACTGTTGCCCCTCCAGAATCTCTGTTGTTATTTGCCCATGGCTCTTCTCGAGTTCCTGAGGATAAAATGTAAACATAAGCTACAACAGTAACAGTAAATATTCAAGTAAAACCAATTTTATTTTTATTACATTGTGGTTAACTGCAAATGCAATATGGTCAAAAAACAAGTGCAAGAATTCCCCCCAAAACAAAATTTTATAAACCTTTAAGACCGTACAAATAAAAATAAAAATAATCCACTATTTAAAAACACAAGCCTAAACTAAAAGCTTGAGTATAAAAAGTTTTAAAAACAAAACCCTTTTGCAATGGAACTGAGTTCTTGTGGCCAACAGAAAACAGGACCATAAGGACTAAAGGCACAATGTACAGATTTGTAATTATTTCTCGGTAAGATTAAAAAAACCCTATACATGACGACCTTAAGAACAGTGTCGACCACAAGTTTTTCAAAGATGATGCCAATCTTTAAAAATCAGGGCAGATGATGTTTAATATACAGCACAGAATTTTTTATTTTAATTTTGGCCACAACTGCTTAACTTCAAAAAACATGAATTTAACAATACTTAGAAGAACTTGGACATGTGTTATTTAGACACAATATAGAAAAGCATTTACTGTACGTTTAAAATAACTTGTGGGATGTGGGATTTTGGTCAAGGTTAACCCTCCTGGTGCCCTTGGGCCAAAATTACCCTGAAAGCCAAGCTCATTTTGACCCAAGGGCAGCAGGAGGGTCAAGGACAAGACGTGTAAACGAGTCCTCGTGGCTCAGTGGGATGAAGCTGTTTAAATAAAGGTTGAATGAATGAAAAAAAAAGCATCATCAGCACAAGAGTAACACAATATGTTGGGTTATGAAACAGGGAAAAAACATAAGAGGACCAAGAATTGATCCTTGTGGAACTCCAGGAGCACTGTTGACTTTGATTCAGTATATTCAGCCAAAACAGAAATCTGCTGTTCTGTCAGATGAGGACACATTTGCTTCCGATGAGGAAAACTCAAACTGTAGTTTGGTTTTCAAATTATACTTTTAGACCTAAAAACTTAAAACAAGATAAATTTCAGAGGTGAAACTTTCCTAATGTGTTTTACTTTACCAGAGTCAATTACCAATGAATCATTTGAACTAACCAAGTTGCTTCAAAAATCTGAAAACTGCTTCCTTTGTCAGTAATAACTTCTTCAAAACTAGCACACCTTTGAAAAGGTTTTTGAAGTCTGCAGTACATTAGTCGTGAACTTGTAGTACCTCTCGTTGATATAGTAAAGAGTTTATGCTCTTCAACTAAACAGCAAAGTGACTGTGTGACACACAAAAAAGAACATCAGCTTCTTTTTATATTGCGGTGCACCTTTGTGGCTCTCTCTGTAGGACAAAGCATCAAAGAGTATCCGCTGTCTTTGAGAACACCTTAAGACACTTTCACACTTCTAAACACCACGAGAGAAGCCTTCAAACGCACTAAAAACAACACGCTCTTTCAAACAGACGCACCTGCACACACCGAACACCTCTGACAGGAGTATCAAAGGTGTACCTGCTGCGCCGAGTGGCTTTTCCTCCACCTAATAAAACAACGCTCAATCCTCGATAGATCAGTGCTCTGACAAAACAAGTCTGAAGTGCTCTGAGACCGTGGGCAACAAGTAGCTTGCATGTAGCTCTTTACACCTCCAAACGGTTTGCGGCACTCAGGAGCTTTGCGGGGGTGTCAGATGAGTTCAGCAAGAACCATAAAAAGGAGCGTAGTGTATTCAATCTGGGCTCAAGCTGTTCGTGTCTGCCTATGAACTGTCTCTTCTGTGAATACAATTAGTAGAATTTATGTAGGTTGTTTAGCATCAAGTAAAAAATCCTGAAAAATGCCTGGTTTGTTTTTGCATTGAGGGTGTGCCCAACATGCAGACAGACAAAAACAACTGAAAATGTATTTTTTTAAAGCTCTTATAGACGTGTAGTGTGTTTTTCATGAACTATCTTTGTGCTATTTATGCCCCAAAGAGTCGCTGAAATAAATCTAAAAGAACAGTTTTCATTTTCATTATATAGTTATTATTAACTGTCACTTTATATTTCATTTTCATAGCCTGTATTAAGAGCTTTTTCTTGTGTGAAAGTAACTATCCATGAACTAATATGTTTTATTATCGACATTACACAAAGCAGAACAGAGTTAAAATGTAGAAAGTGTTTGAATTTTGGTTGTAATGTTTTATTGTAAAATATACAAGTATTTCAAATTGTACTTTGGAATGACTACAATATTTTACAAATATTTACAATAAATGACACACGGACTGAGTGCTGGTGAAAGACCGAGCGGTAGTGTTCAAACACAATCGCGACACAGAGCGACCCTAACTTTAATTATTACTTTTATTTTTGTAGCTCTAAAGCAACAACTGAATGTGAATAATTTAATGTTAAAAACAAGAATTTTCTTTGTGTAGTGATGACTTTGTAGCAAAAAATAAAAGAAAAAAAAAACTGAAAACTTGCAAAGTGTTACCATCATTTTGATAAAAAAATTAGTTGCAGCAGCAAAGAACCTTTAAACAAAACAAATAAAAAAATGACAAAAGCACATAAAAATAAGACAATAAAACACCAAAAATAAAAAATAAACTGCCCCGGACCAAAATTTCATCTTTTCTATGTAGAGAGAAACCAAAGAAGTAAGTGAAGGCAACAAGTCTTTTATATTTAAAGACCTGAAGGTCACTACAGAGGTGGAGTGCTTCACAACCCCAGTAGACATGATGAGCGCTTGTTAGTAAATATATTACCTGCTTTAAATGCTTAAAAAGTAAGAGTATAAATCCTGATTGTGGCAGCTTTAGTAAAAAATAAAAACAAACGCAAAATTAGGTTTTTTTTTTTAGATGTTGTGGTTTCTAGGTTTGTCTTGCATGTTTTTTTTTTTCCCACAGGTCTAGAGGCAGACTTCAATGAAGTTGATTTGTGTTCTCTTTATACCTCTCTCTCTCCTCTATTCCTATCTTCTTCTTTACCTTTTAACCCTTCTCTCATTTTTCTGCTTTGTTTTCTTCTTTGTTTTTCGTCCCCATGTCCATTACATCTGAAACAAACCCAAAGCAAATTCTAATAAAATTGAATTTATATATCAAGTGGAGCGTTAAGGCCAGCCATAATGCTCTGCTTGTGAAAGTAAATCTGTTGGGCTTCACTTTGACACTCAGACAATAATTCTAATTGTCACAATGTCAGACAGGACAGGGGGGGGGGGGGGGAGAGATTAGTTTCTAAACAATAAAAAAGTCAGACCTATTGGTTACAACTAAATAATTTACTTCAAATTTGGTCAATGTATGACACATTTTTATCTTTGACGATATCAATAGATGGAAAAACTAAAGAAAACCATCCATCCATCCATCCATTATCTTTACCCGCTTATTCCATTTTGGGTCACGGGGGTCGCTGGTGCCCATGTCCAGCAATCACTGTGCGAGGGGCGGGGTACACCCTGGACGGGTCGCAAGTCCATCACAGGGACACATAGAGACAAACGAGACAAACAACCATTCACTCTCTCACTCACACCTAGGGACAATTTAGAGTTACCATTCAGCCTAACATGCATGTTTTTGGACTGTAGGAGGAAACCGGAGCACCCGGAGAAAATCCACGCATGCACGGAGAGAACATGCAAACTCCACCCAGAAAGGCCCCTGGACCGGGGTTTGAACCAAGGACCTGCTCGCTGAGAGGCAGCAGCTCTACCAGTTGCGCCACCGTGCTGCCCACACTAAAGAAAACCTTGAACTTTTAATCAGTAACAATTAGGCCTGTCGCGATAAACAATAAATCAATTAATCGCATGATAAATTAAAATGAGGTAGATAATTTTCATCGATCAATTTTAATGTCTCTCTTTCTGCTGAAGACACTGGATGACAAAAGGCTCAGCTCCAGTGCTCTGCACTGATCCCTCTCTTTCTCCTTTCCTTAGTGTAAGGGGGGAGTGGACTATCGCGTCAGGTAGCCAGCCAAGGCACATCATCTTGAACCTCTGCAGCATTAGAGCCCCATGAGGAGTTAGCAAGCTAAAGAAACTCTATTTGATATCGGGGAAAATAAAGAAATGGAATTGGTTTCTAAGTCTAATGCAGCAGCAGCAGTGTGGGAGCACTTCGGATTCAAACCAAATGACTGAAGCGAACCGCTGAAACTTTGCGAGTCGGTATGTCACATTTGTCATAACAGGGTGGCAACTAAGATCAGCAATACAACCAACTTCCTGCCTTAATTCTTGCTCAGAATCTAAACTAAGTAGTAAGATTAAAGTAGCTACAGATCTGCTTATGGACTGTTGAGGCACCTGCTCTTAAACGCAGTGTGATTTTTTTAGTTTGCACTTTTTATTTATAAAACTGGCAGTTTTGCCTGTCTTCTCTATATAAAACTAATGATTATTATTTTTGGAGGGCACTTTAGTTTATAGAATTCATAATCTGTACTGTTTTGGTTGAATATAGTTTTTATTTCCATTTTTTTTTTTTTTTGCATTTAGTTTTTATTCAAGTACATTTTTTGTTAACAGAGACTGAGAGTCCATTTTATTTTTGTTTTTGGTTGTTTTATTTGTTTTACAGTTTCAGTGTTGTGTTCTTTTAAAATTAAATTCATTGATCCATGAGAGGATGTACTTTGTACTTGCATTATTATGTCATTATCATTACATTAATTTAAAACGGTCTACAAACAATATTATTGCTTATCGCAATGATTTCTGAGACAATTTATCGCCCAGCAAAATTTGCTATCGTGACAGGCCTAGTAACAATGACTCGATTGTAGATCTGTCATTTCTAACCTGGGCACAAAGCCCAGCCTGGCCTGGCCCAACCCAAATTTGGTACGGGCTGGGCCATGATAATGTGCTGGATGGGCAGGTTGAGTCGGTGTCGGGCTTTTGATTGGGTCAGCTGATCAGCTGCGAACCAATTTTATGATAACATGGCTTGCCATACCTCACCAGCCCCACGCGGCAATTTCACTGCGAGCTGACTGGCCTTGAAA